ACTTTGGTGGGTAGTGACCCCAAGGCGAACCCTTGAGGACTTACGACCCCCACCCCCCATACCAAGCCTTTGCCACATCTTACATCACATTGTCTAGGCTCTCTACACAGCACATGTGGTTGTGGCTGTTCCGCCAAGGAATTACTACTGGCAGGTCATCGGAACTTCCCTTAAGAAAGATGGGATTCTATTATGTCCAGGGGAAGATGCTTTCAAAGTCAGTAAGACAGATTTCCACTTTATTGCCAGAAGCTTATATAACTAAAAACCTCATGCACAGTTTACACTCATTTCTGCTCATTCTTCCCCCTTTCAGTGCAGGAGAATATTTATTTGAAATGTCATTTTTAATGCCATTTATCAGGCAAAATAATTTCTTCATCATGCCTTGAATTCTGATTTACTAATATTTAATAATATATAATATACATTGAGCACTTACTAGACGTCAAGTATTGTTTTACACATGTGTATTAATTCACTATCCACACAGCTCTATCCAGCTGACACTATTGTTATCTATATTTTAGAGATGAGGAAACTGAGGCCCAGGGCTCAAGATCACACAACTGATAAGAGGTGTAGTTGAGATTCAAACTCAGGTACTTCCTCCTGCATAGTCTCTGTTTTTCATCACTGCATATAGCAATGAACTTTCTACCATGTGATGTCATAAATCTTTAGTTCTAGAATCAAGAATTAGACAAAGCACTGGCAAGTTATATATTGATTGCAACTAGAGATAAATCCCACAGATTCTAGGTTATACCCTTTATATTATTAAATATCCAAATATTATCTGATCACATTTCTCAAGCAGGAAAAGGAAGTAAAGTCAGCTGATTCATCTGGGGTAGCAGTTGATTGGGGTCAGGGACAGGAGGGATATCAAAATGAAGTCCAAGAGAGAATTTTACAGACCGTTTTAGAATGCCTAGAACAGACGAGCAAACAAAGCCAGGGGCAGGCAGCACATACTGGGAACTAAGGTACTAAGCCACATAGGAACAAGACAACCAGGGAAGATGAGGGTTGGCAGGTGACCTAGGCATAGCCCAGGAACAGGAGCAAATGACTGCTGTGGGAATTTCGTATTTCCAGTGCACAAGTGCAGGTAGTTTGGATCTATTTAAAGAGGCCAAAATAAGACAAACATATATAGATAATGCAATCATATAAACATCAAAGCTGGTACACACTATGTAAGTAATATGTAATGTAAACAATATGATTATTTTAGCACTAAGGTGAGGAAGACAAAAAATACAGGACAAGCAATTCAAGACACACCAAATGCATAAACATATCTATAGAAAGGGACATAGCTACAAAACGGGAAAGCTTCAAAAAGGAGCTAAATGATGAATGTTAAAAAAGAAAAGAAAGAAAAATAGTAGAAGGGAAATGAGGTCAATTTGGGAAATGTTAGATTTGAGGTGCCAAAAACACCTCCAGGTAAAGATACATACAAAATGGAGAAAAGTGCTCATCTGGAGCTTATAAGGGTGTTTGATTTTGTAGATTTTTTTAAATTGAACTTTTGGGAATATATAAGAAGAAAGTATAGAAAAGAGAGAATTGAAAGGAAGACCAAACCTTTGGAAATGCCTCCACCACACTGAGTGTGGGGTGGCACAAGAGGAAAAGGAGGAAAGAGCAAGAGAGACACAGAAAGAGAATATAAGGAGACAATAGGCAGTGAAATTGATGCATTCAAGAAAGAGGAAGTGGGCAACAGTCCAAATGCTTCAGAGAGCATGAGGGAGGTTATAGCTAAGAAAAGCTCATTGGATTTGAAATAAAAGACACAGATAGATGCCTTTGGAGAGGCAGAATTTAGTAGAGTGATGAGAGGTCAGAACAGCCGGACAAGGAGTGATCAGCAAGTGGAAGCTGGGCACCTGTCATTCATTCATGGGGCCTGACAGCAACGGGAAGGATAATGGAAAACAAGACTGCAAGCCCTGCTGGCACAGGGACCTTGCCCGTTTTGCTCATTGCTGTCCCCAGCACCAAGAACAGTTCCTGGCATGTAATAGATACTCAATAAATATTGGTTTGTTGAATATTGTTTATCCAGTGAATTTTGTTGTTTGATTCAATAAATGAATTAATGAATGAATACAGTACTTTTATTTGAAGGAGTATGAAAGAACAATCTTCTTGTTATCACACGTCATTCAGATATGAATGCTGGAGTTATACTGTCCAGTACTATATAAGTGCAGCTCACACCATTGGACTTACTGTAGGATAGAGGGTGGAGGTCTTGTATAGAGGTTGAAATTAATCTTTTTGACAGCAATCTGAGGGACTGGAGGAAAGTTCCTGAGTGTCTGCAGAGTAGAAGTCCCTCTCTGCCTTAACTATAAAAAAATCAACAGATTGAAAAGAGCTCCTGAAAGATGGGTTAAGAAGAGGCTCTCCACCTGGGGCAGGTGGGGAGCAAGTTACTAAGAAATCCAAACAAGTGCCTACAAAGTTGTAGAAACCTTTTGGTTTCTATCTAATACTCTGCGTTAAATGTCTCTGTTCTGTCACACATTCAAAGTCTTTGGAAAGTTCCAATCTGCACATGGGAATATAAAAGCATTCAGGCAGCACTGGGGACAGTGGCCAGCACTGTGGTGACAGCAGGAGCTACAGGAGCCAAAGGATGGCAAGCACTGTGAATGCAGAGTGGAGAAGCCACCAAGACACCTTGAAGTTCAAGGGTTTGTTGGGTTGTTTTTTTTTTTGGTGTGTGTGTTGTGTGTGTGTGTGTGTGTGTGTGTTTTATCAGATGACGTGGTATTCTCTTACAGGGAATCTAGAAAAGAGTATTTTCCCAGTTGTTTCTCATTTGGTTTTGTTTGATTTTGACAAAGGAGATTTGAGCAAATATGAAGTCTAAAGGGGGGAAAACTGGCAGAGTGCAAGAGAAAGAATATAAAGTTATAAAGAATTTATAGAATGCAATTAAACAAATCTCTGGAATAAAAAGGAGGTCATGCAATGCAAAGGTTAGATGGGGAGGTTATTTTCTGCAAAGTGGTACAAAGAAAGATTGGGAACAGAGAGAAAGAAGACGCTTCTGTGAAGCTCACCTGGAAGTCAGGAGACAGAGTCAGCTGGGGAGTTCATGGAACACAAAAAGTACACGTAGCTGCTGGGGACAGGCCACAGAGAGCCTAGTGAGTAAGAGGGTTTCTGCAAATCTTATGGGACTAGATTGCTGGAATTTCCAGAAATGCTAATCAGCACAATTTAATACTGTCTGGAGCAATACTTGGCAACCTAGGGAGGTTTTGTTGCAATTGTTGGAGGTACAGTCCTACACTTGAGCCAAGCCCAGCTCCCCATAATGGATCTACCACATCCAGAGTCGTAAGAATGGGATAAACTCACACCTCATAGCAGAATCATCTCACAATGTTAGAAACAACCCTAAAGACAAGTTCTACTCAAAAGAATCACAATTAATCCACCCTGCTTATTTTCCTTCAAATGGAGCCTAGTTGGACTATTTCTACCAAGATCCTTAGGGTCTTCCAGATGGAAGAAATCTTGGAAATCATCTAGTCCAAACTCTCAACTATTATGACTTCATTTTTAGAAATCCCTGGCAGAAGCTACCAGTGGACACTGGCATCCCCGGGCTCCTCTATCTTTCTCAGCCTCCTCTGCACCACAGCTGAAGCCATATGGCCGTGCTCTGGCCAATGCGACATTGGTGGAAGTAATCTGAGTCACTCCCAGACCTGGCTGTCTCTTCCATGGAGGAGAACCAGCCAACCTGCATCACATCTTAGACTCTTGCTTGAGAGAGAAATATACTTTAATAATTTTAGTCACTGATATTTTTGGATTTGTCTGTTTCAGCAGCAATCATTAATTAATTTTCAAGCCACCTTTTAATAACTTAGCAACGCAGAGTTGCCAATCATGCTACAGAAGGGGACGGGGATTGTTATTACCCACGTACCCAAAGGATTAAGATGAAAGAAGCAGTCATGAAACCCATTTTTACAATATAGTCACACCTCACTTATCTAAAGGTTATTATTTGAGACATAGCTTTGTTGGCTAAAGCTTCAACCCCCTAGCTGAGGACCAGGAAGTAAGCAGTAGAGGCCTTAAAACAACCCAGGCTGAGAGCTAAATAAAGCTTTACAGTTTCACTCACCACCTAACTCCTCAGGCTGTCTTTACTCAAGATGTTTTGGAGTAAATCAGTCAATCTTGGAAATCAGATTATGTCACATGAAATAAGAAACAGGAAACCGGAAGCAAAAGGGAGTGGCTGAAAGTGGGCAAAACCAGCCATTCTGACGGTGAAGGAGAGATCAGAAGGACTCTAAAAGGTAACACATCCAAGTCAAAAAGCAGGGTGCAGTGCCCTGTGCCCCATTTTATAAAGGATGACTGGACCCCACTGCTCCTCAGAGCCCTGAAGGCATCAGTGAGAAGCTCAGCCCACAACTGATGCTAATAATGATGACTTGCATCTTCACCCAACCTCTCTAAGCTTCTAAAGAAGGTAGGAAAATGCATAAATGGAAATCGTTACTCAAAACAGTTTCAATGTTTACAGACATACACTTGGTCATTTGAAAAACTCATTAAGGGCTACCTTATTCCCTAGGATGCCACATAAAGTTACTCAAAAATATGAGTCACTGCCAATTGCCTGTGGTCTGATTTAGAAGGCATGGCTCCTACCACGCAGATTTAGGTGCACACATCAGCATGAAGGAAACCCAGCTTCCATAAGAAAAATCAAGATCTAAATGTGATACGAAGTAGAAAGGAACTTGGAGATCATGCAGCCAAGACCCTGGAGGAAGGTTAGGTGATCAGAGGGCACGCATTCATCTATCTCACTGTGGAGAGGGAACCACAGCCCCTGTCTCCTGGTTTGGCAGCTAGGATATAATCATCCAGAATTTCCCAGGCCCACTCCCACCCCTCCCCATCCCTTCACAGGCCTTCTGGTTGGCCCCCAGGCCTGACGCACTCACCTGCAGAAAGCAGTGTCCAACTGGGGCATGCTCGGCAAGGGTGGCGTTGTACACCTGCCTCTGGAAGATGGGCTCGTTGTCATTCACGTCATCCACAGTGATGCTCACCAGGCAGGTGGCAGAGAGTGGAGGCTCTCCGAGGTCCTGGGCCACCACTCGCAGCTCCACCGCCTCCTGGACCTCTCGGTCTAGCGTCCGGATGGTGCTGATCACAGCGCTTTGGGGATCAATGGTGAAAGACGGTCCACACTCGGCCGTGGGCAAGGCGTCCGGGTTGCAGGGAGCCGAGAGATGGACTAGCGCGTAGCGGAGGGTGGCGTGATCAGTGCCAACCTCGTCGGCATCAGTGGCGCTGACCCACAGGACTGCGGTGCCAGGGGCGGCGGCCTCCGACACCGAGGCCCGGTAATGCTCCCGGCTGAAGAGAGGAGGCTGATCGTTGAGATCGGCCACCCGGAGCAGCAGCGTCTCCTCCGTGGTTAGAGGCGGGGACCCTGCATCGGTGGCCACCAGACGCAATTCATACAGATCGCGGCTCTCCCTGTCCAGGGGCCCCTCCACGCAAAGGAAAAATACCCCCGGGGGGCCGCCGGGCCGCAGTGCGAAGGCTCCCTCGCCGCCTTCCAAAGACAGCGAGATGCTTCCGCCTCCGAGGCCCACACCAAACTGCTCGGTGGCCCCCTCTTCCGTCTCGGGTTCGCCGTCTGCGTCAGACACCGAGACGCGAGCCACGTAGTCGCCCGGCTGCGCGCCCTCGGAGACACTGGCGGCGCCTCCCTCGGTGAGGAAGAGGAGGTGGATGGCGGGCGGGTTGTCATTCACGTCCAGCACGGCGATGGACACGCGCACGGTAGCGACCTCGGGCTCGGCGCCTCCGTCGCGGGCCTCGACCACGAGCTGGTGCCAGGCCTGCGCCTCGCGGTCCAGGGGTCTCAGCACGCGCACCACCCCGCTCAGCTCCTCCACCGCGAAGTAGGCCGCGTCGCCCAGCGGCCCGCCCCCGCCCCCGCCGCCCGCCCCTGGCACTTGCCGGGCGCGGACTGCGTAGCGCACGTGGCCATTGGGCCCCAGGTCGCGGTCGGTGGCCAGCACGCGACAGACCTCGGAGCCGGGCGGGGCGTTCTCGCGCACTGCTGCGCGGTACTCGCCCTGCTCAAAGACCGGCGGGTTGTCGTTCTCGTCCAGCACGCGCAGCTCCACGCGCAGGCGGCCCGTGCGCCTCGGGCGGCCGCCGTCCCACGCCTCGATCTGCAGCTCGTGAGCCGCCGCCGCCTCTCGGTCCAAGCGCCGCAGCAGCACCAGGTCGAGGGGGTCTAGGGGCGACGAGGAGCCGGGCAAAAGCGGCGACGGTGGCAGCCCCGGAGTCCCATAGCGCAACTGGAAGAACGGCCCTTCGGGGTCCTGGAGCAGGTTGGACGGTTGCACCAGGGTGTACCCCTGTGTGCTGAACAGCCCCGCGTCGGGGTCGTGCGCACCCGGCAGGCGGAATGCGGTGCCCGGCGGGGTGAGCTCGGAGACGTCGAGTTGCAGGGAGTCCTGGGGAAAGCGCGGCGAGTGGTCGTTCACGTCGTTGACGCGGATCTCCACCTGCACGACGGCGCCCAGCAGCGTGGCGGCCACGAAGCTGTAGTGGTCCCGCCGCTCGCGGTCCAGGCGCCGCGCGGTGCGGATGATACCGGTGTCCGGGTGCACATGGAAGTCGTCCAGCAGCGGGGAGTCATCCGAGTCCTCGGACAAAAAGAAACCGCTCCCCTCCTGCTGCTGCGCGGCCGGCAGCCCGGCGCGGATGTCACCCACCAGCGTGTCCGGGGGAAGCCCCTCGTCCACGGAAAGGCTGAGGTTGAACAACTGGGCGGACGAGCCCGAGGCCGCCCACAGCCACACGTGCACGAAGAGCCCGAGCAGGGAGCGCTGCGCCCCCGCGCCACCGCCGCCCCGGCTGCCCAGCCGCCCGGGGGGTGACCCTCTCCTCCCGGGGAGCAGCAGGCTCTTCCCGACGGGAGGCCCCGGCTGCTGACGCCCTTCGCCCATCTTCCGCCCAGAAGGGCTCGTATCTCCGCCCGCTCCTTGGGAAGGCTCCCGGGTAACTGCCAGCTTGCGTTGGGATCGCAGAAAAATCCAGGAGCCTCTTCAGCGTCTGAGCCAAAGAAGAAAAGACTTTGTTTGGCAAACAAATCGACAGACCCAGGAGTTCCCGAGGTTACATCTGCAACTGGTGACAACGTCCTCCGCCCGCAGCTCGCGCAGCAAGGAAGCTCCGGCTGCCTCTGCCGCTGCAGCCACCTCTTCAGCCCCTGGATTTCTTTAAGCGAGTCTCATCTCTTTTTCTCTCTCCTTTTATTCTTTTTACATCTGTTCCTTGTTCTGCTCGGCTGCTTGTTTCCCCCTGGTAAAGTCAGGTGCATTATTTGTTTTGCCAAAAAGCAGGAAATTATTTAAAGCGCGCGCACACGAGGAGAGGATGGGGATCGGCCGGAGAAGGGGTGGAGTAAGGGCGGGGAGGCGGCGAGTAGGGGCGCGGGGCCTGAGGGAAGGGGAAGGGAGGGGCGCCGCGGCCGAGTGAGCTGCTCCGGGGGCGGGGCGGTCGCTCCCCGCGGGGTCTGTAGGCGCGGAGGACCCCACGACTCCCGCGGTGACCTAGCCTGCGCCGCCTCCCCCTCCCCGCCCTCCCCGCCGAGTGACGCGGCGCACGCGAAGGCAAACTCCAACCTGCCAGCTGCACCTTTGCTGCAGGGCCGCACCGGATCGAATGGGAAAGGACCTGGAGATCCGAACCGTGGGGCGGGGGGTGGGGGTGGGGGACGCGCAGGCGGGGCGCCTGCCCAGGCTTGGCATGGCACGCGGTGATGGGCGGGGGTGGGGGGAGAGGGACAGGGCCTCCACGCCCCCTCCAACCCTCTGGACCGTCCCTCCAGCGGGCCTGACGCTTGGCTCGGGCTGAGCAGAGAAGGTGGGGGTCAGAATCACTTTAGGGAGCCAAACTTGTGTTCTCCATTTGGCGAGAGAGACTCGGCCCCGGCGGAAGGACAGATGGAGTCAAAGGCCCATGCACAGCTGGGGCCAGGCTGACTGCAAAGGGGGAGAAGGCGGAACTTGGAAAGACCTTCGAGAAAACCCGAGAAATCTGTGACACACATGGTGCAAACCACGCTTTATTATGCCGCGCTACTACTCAGCGACGTGTGAGCGTCTTGTCACTCCCCTCTGCCTCCAGGAACGACGACAATAGATTCGGCTTGTGAGCCCTTTTTATACATTCAGCGCCATCATAACACTTCCAGGATGTTTTACGATGCTGATTTATGAGCAGAAAGACCGGGTGGCTGAAACCTCGCCACCTCCCAGCGCTCCACCACCACCTCTAAGCTAGGAAGTTTGCAAGCAGGGCCACCCTACCGATACCACTTTCAACACTAGCTTCTGTCCGAGTCCAAAGAAAATGCCAGTAAATCGCCACAGTCGCAGATTTCCCTTCAATTATCCACAATAATCGGTAGAAATTGATAAATGGCCTCTAATAAAGTATGCCTGAGGAAGGACTCTCTGGCCTCATAAGACTGGCTCGCCTTATTTAGCAAATGGTTTCTGCAATTTTGCATTTAGGCCGGAGGAAAGAATTAATTTCCTAGATACTGTTCCTCTCCTTTAGGGAAGACCGAAAGGTCTGCAGTGGCAGCAACAGCAAAATACTTTTTTAGTATACAGTGGAGTTGTATATAATTTCTAATCCGCACCCACACCATCATCTCTACCTCCGACAAAATAACAATAAGACAATTTGTTTTGTATCAGAGATGTTGCATGTAAATGAAGACATTGTTGAAAATAAATTCCACTTCCTTTCACCAAAGAAGCTTCCTTAACCATAAAGATTTGTTATGAGTCTTTGGAGTCTTCTTTCTCCTCAACGTGAGGGATCTCACCCTAACCAGTTCCCCTGCCTCCACTCTTGCCCCTTTCTAAGTAATTCTCAACCAAGCATCTGGACTGATGTTTTAAAGCTGACTCAACTCATGTTATCTCCTGCTTACAACCCGCAATATGATTCCATTATAGTTTGATTATAATGGAGACCCCTTCTGTCAGACTCCCTTCTAGAGTACAAGGTCCACCTTTCTGACCTTGCCTCATACCACCACTCCGGGTCCAGCCATACCGCCTTCTTTCTGATCTTGGTGATTTGAATTGTTAGAACTTTCCACTCCTGGGATTTCTTTCTTCTGCTTTGAAAAACTCTGGATCTTCCCTATTTGGGTCGCAACTCAAATGCCAACTCTTGAGAGAGCTCTTCCCTCATCACCCTACCTCAGGTAGCCTGTCCCCCTTAAACCCTATATCCTCACCTTATATTCCATTTGAGCACCTACAGTATCTGAAGTTGGCTTGTTTTATTCATTAGCTTATTAGATTACCACAATCTCAATCTTCTTCATGCACTTTAAGCACTGCTTTGTCCTAGCACCGAGAACAAAACCTAGCATATAGTGGGTCTCTATTCATTAAATATGCATTGGATGGATGGTTGGTTGAACCTCTGAGTAGATGGATGGATGATGAGTCTGTTAAAGTAAAAATTTGAAGCCTTAACTAGAAATGAATTGGCCATGAGAGCCTTCATTGTGATGAATTCTATCTTCACAATCTTACTCATTTTAATCATTCCATGAGGCTTCTTAAACTTATTTTTGAGCTTCTTCAACTCATTGTCTAAACTGTATTGTTAAATATTTACTTAAGTCTAAGAATGAGGGAAAAGAAGCATCTTTTTCTGCATCTTTCACTGACACATTCTTTATAAACAGTGATTTCGTTTAGAAACAATGGAAAACAAATGGAAAATCAAGAACTTCAAACATCTATTTTCCCATTAATTCTTAGGCTTTATGCTTCAAGCATGTATAATTCAAGGTCTCCTGCTCATTTCACAGTACCTTTCACTGAATATCCTGAGCAGCATTCTAGAATTAAGAATTTAATTTGGTAAAATAAAAGAATTAAGAGCATTTCTGCAATATGTGAAAAAATAATTTTAGCAAATACAGGAGCCAACAGTCTGCAAGAAATATGTCATGGTCTGACCCTTTTGAGGAAAGTATCATGGTGTAACTGGCAAGAGTTTTGGCTTTGAAGCTGGTCAACCCTGATTCTGCGATAAAATTTGGGCCAAGTTATTTAAATACTAAGCCTTAGTTTCCTCTTCTCTAAATTAAGGATGATATATCTAGTTTACAGGGGTATTAAGAGCCTTAAATCAGACAATATATGTGCATTGGCATATAGAAAGCTTTCAGTAAGTATCATTTATCTTACCCTTTGTTATTTGTGTGATGGAATGTTTTAGGGGTAAATTGTTTTGAGATTCTCGGTAGCATCAAATGCTGACTCCTGAGCCCCCAGAGTGTGTGAAGAGGGAAGAGGTAAAATCCTGACCATCATAAACAGAAATTAAAACTATCTTTGGACAGAAAGGCTCAGGGCTGATCTTTACCTAGTGTTATATGGTTTAAGTAATACAGGAAGAACATCTTCAGTAATATTTTCTCCCAGATGATAGACAGTCCTCAGTTTTGTAGTAGTTAACTTAAAAATTTAAATAATTACTAAGTGCCCAAAGCAGAATTCAAGCACCTCATGTTAGGCTTTTAGGGAAGGAATTATAATTATTATCCCCATATTACAGATGAGGAAACTGAGAATCAGGAGCATTACAAGTGATGTCATCAAAGTCACACAGGTAGTAAGTGGTGGTATTGGAATCTGAACCCAGACAGTTATGTTCCAGCGTCCATGGTCTTCACTGGTCATTTACTGTCTTTGTGGCTTTCTTTAATCAGATTGTCTTCTTCCAAATTCTCAATGAAATCAGTACCATGATAGAGTATAGAGTTTTGGACAGACCTGGAGGAACTGCAGAAAGAGGACTTGGATAGCGTGCTTGTGGGGATGGGGAGGAGACACGTTTAGTATTTGATATTGTAGTTTGCATTTAATATCTGCATATATTTTGTGTTCATAAAGTCTTAAAATTGAAGGGTTGGGGATCCTATGGCCTTGGGACCACATGTGTCCTTTTGGCTCCTTAAATGTAGCCTTTTGACTGAATCCAAATTTTACAGAACAAATCCTTTTGTTAAAAGGGGCACAGCAGAGAAAGATGAATCTTTTCTTGCCTCCTTTGGTGCTTACAAAAAAAAGAACAATCTTGAAGTCAGAAGGCCACAGTTTCCCCACCCATCACAGAATATGATTAAATTTTATATAATATTAGTCTCTGTTTTGGACATTGACATGTAGTTTTTTCCTCTGATTTTTGGGGGGAAGATGGAGAAAAACTGGTCAATAATTTCTTTTTTTCTTTTTTTTTTTGAGACAGAGTCTCACTTCTGTTTCCTGGGCTAGAGTGCCATGGCATCAGCTTAGCTCACAGCAACCTCAAACTCCTGGGCTCAAGTGATCCTCCTGCCTCAGCCTCCCGAGTAGCTGGGACTACAGGCATGAGCCACCATGCCCAGCTTATATATATATATACATATATATATATACATATATATATATATTTGGTTAGCCAATTAATTTCTTTCTATTTATAGTAGAAACAGGGTCTCGCTCTTGCTCAGGCTGGTCTCGAACTCCTGACCTTGAGCAATCCACTTGCCTCGGCCTCCCAGAGTGCTAGGATTACAGGCGTGAGCCACTGCGCCTGGCCAATAATTTCTTTATACCAACATTTCATCATATGGTTTGAAAGGAACTCTAACATGCTTATCATTAAGTAAGTTTATACATACTATATTTAATCATATTTTCAAATCCAGTAGAAGCTGGAATAGAAGAATTACATATACTGAGGTTGCCCCTACTTTTGAATATTGTAGCATAAGTAAGTTTGAGGTAGAATCCTTAGCTAAAATAATTTCTGCCTAATTTCCCCCAGGTGCCCTTCTCCCTCCTAACTTGTTTAATCTTCCCAGTAATTGGTAAGGCAGACCAGCTTTCCCCCACTCCCCGCTCCAGGTTCAGGATGGCCTACAAAGGCCAATCAAACCTGCTCAACCATATAGCCTCCAAGAGTTGGCTTTCCTAACTCCGTCTTTGGCACACACCCCATCTTGCTTTTCCTAAAAGCTTTTCTGTAGATGAAATAATCCCAGCTCCTCATTTCCCCAACGCTTTAATCATTTTGGTTCTGTTCTCTGAACTCTTTCCAATTTTCCTATATATTGTATAAGATGTGGAAACCAAAACCACACACTATTTTCTAACAAGGCCTATGCATTGCCAAACCTAAGGAGGCCGACTTACTTCTTCAATCAGAAATCAAAGCCAAGTCCAACAGGTTCTTAACAAGTGGATGTCGGAACAGGTGTGACATCCCCGATCCAATAAACCAACAGCTTCTGAGTAGATAATTATTCAGTGTAGAAGGGTAATCTATTGCTTTCACACAAAGGAATTTTTAGAATATTC